AATTTAATTTGATCAGGGGGGATGATGCCTGAGGAAAAAATAAATAAAAAATCTACTGCTTCGGCCTGAACTCAAACATGTCTCATTGTCTGTTGCGTTTCTCCTGAAACAATCTGCTCTTGGATTTTATTGTTCTTCTAACCCATGTTTAAGTGCAGCTCCAATTAAACATAATCATAGCCACACATCCGTAGTACAATGTCTGCGGTTTAGTGCCTTATTGTCCCCGTGGGAACATTTTGTTTGTTCGTGAAGCTTCCTGCCATGGAGACTGTGAAGCACACACCCAATTATGTAGCAGTGCCGTCAGTCGAAATGAAAAACCATTGGAGCAAACAAAGGCGAAGAACATACAGCACAGCGGAGCGAGGCAGAAAGTCAATGCATCGCTTCTCTTTTCTATCAGCAGGCTCTTATTAATGATGCAGCACTCTTGTGTCAGCCCGCTGGCACAATTCACTCTCATCATCACCACGAGATGGCATGTGGGACTCACCCGGCGTAACCAACGCAGGGTACAGCCGCGCTCTGCCTCACTGTGTCTTGACGCAGATGCACAAACTGTGCTGAAAACCTACTACCACGCTATTTGGGACATTTACTTCCACAAAAGTCAGACTTTACTTAGATCTGAAATGCAACTTGCAAAGGATTGCATCCGGATGAAAACTGGTTTGATGTTAACAGTCTTGGCCTGCCAAACGTAGTGTTTTTTTTTTCCTTTAAATCTGGGATGGTAATAACGGATGCGTCCATTCATTGTTCTTTAACTCATTCAGTACCAGCCAATTCTAGACCAAGTCTGAAAAGACATTTAAAAACGTCTTTGGGAGTCAATGAGTTAAGAATAGTGAAAATTATGTGGAAAGGAGGCAAAATGGAGTTAGCTACTGGTTGCAACCAGCAGAGGGGCTGTTGATCCAATCTCTAGTTTGTGCCGTGAAAAAAACAACAACAACAACATGACTAGCACTATCACATCAATGAAACCTAAATAGTGTGAGTAACCAAGTTGACGTAGCGATCCTGTCAGGCATTAAAGATTTTGTGGCATTTTAAGTTATTTGAGGTCTCCTTCGACCACCGGGATGTTACAGCTTTGCACAGGAATGAATGTGACAGTTACTGTCATTAAAACACACATTTAGTGAACTATGGGTACGATAAACACTTAAATATAATGATTCACAACCTTATGATGGAAGATGTTGATCATTGCATACCGCATTGCAAACGTGAACAGATGAGCAACCGAAAAGTACACAAACTACCGTATTTAAAAGGCGCACCTAAAAGCCTTCCATTTTCTTAAAAGCTCACAGTGCGCCTTGAAATCCGATGCGCCTTGTGTATGGTCATTACGGTAATATGTCGACCCCAAAATGGCTCCTTGCTCGAGACATGCTTACAACGCAGATTTCAAACTTAAGGCGATCGGGTTTCGCAGTTGAACACGGAAATAGAGCAGCAGCAAGAGAGTTCAACGTTAACGAGTCAATGTTATAACTTGCTGTTGGTTCAGTGAACTGTGTCGCTGCTTTATTAAATACGTTTTACTGACATCTGATCGTCGCTATATAAATAAGGGTGTAGTGTAGTGTATTGTAGTGTTCCGTTGGCATTTCCTTTAGCGTAGCTCCATCTAGTGGATGCATTGTAGATTGCATCTTATAATGCGGTACGTCCAATATATGTCAAAAATTACAAAATAGGCCATTCATTGAAGGTGCGCCTCATAATCCAGTGCGCCTTTGAGTGTGGAAAATACGGTACTTCATTTTTTTTTCTTCACAAGAACCGTTGACAGTTTGTTGAAAGTGCATTAAGTTGCCCAACCCACATCTGGATTACTACTACGAATGTTTGTTTCCTTAAAATGCATTCTGTACAACAGTGGGCTCTTTTGGAAGGTGTAACACTTGTTTGTACCCTGCATATCACTGACTTGAACAAGAAAGTTGAAGCACTAACGGACAGATGCAGACATCAGGTCCTTGGCAGAAGTAATGAAACACCTGCATAACTTATAGATTGTGTTATTGCAGAGCTTTCCGTCTGAATGATGTTTTTGTGCTTTGCCTGCTGCACGGCCCTTGCTTACCAGCATGTGGAGATGCATGTGATTTCACAACGAACTGGGTCACAAATCAGCAGGAGGTTTTTTACATGGCTGGTGCTGCTTTGGGACAAGCTGGGGAAAAAATAAACAAAAGTGAGCATCTTAAAATCAGTTCTTGCTTAACTGGGTTCATCATGAGAGGGGCATCTTATCGGATCCCAGATCAGGCTGGTGTACAGCCTTGCTCTCATGGAGGCAGGGAGCTTCGCGCTCCTTATGGACTCCTATTGATTGGAGGCGGGAGTGCGGTGATTCAGTTGCAGTCATTCTGCATTGATTTTCTGCAAGTGCACAAGTGGAGAGTAGGCAAAATGAGAGAGCTTGGCCGAGGTTATCTTCTCAAATATCCGGAAGTACTGTTTTTTTCTCTATGGCGCTGACCTTCCCCCGCGTCAAAAAGAGAGGCTTGCTCAGACGTCAGCTCAGCAGCTTCACAGGACAGCAACCTCAGCAAATGCATTCCTTAAGCAACTACGCCCCGAAGCCATCCAACACAGTCAATAAAAGTCAAACAAGCACTTATTTCACTTTCTAATTTGGCTTCCCAGCCCTCGGAAACCTGATGTGATGAGCAGCTACTTGCATGAGAGCCGACGTGAGAGAAGCCTCATGCCAAGATGAAGACAGAAGCAAGGGCCAAGTTCCAAGAAGCTTTTTTATTGGCAGTCGAGCTGAGTTATTTTAAAAGGCAAGATTGTTGGAAGGACCACGTGACAAAGAAAGAAAGCGTGTCCACAGCGGGGGAAAGAAAGAGGCTTTTTTTTCCTCCTCATATTTTGCGCAAAGCACAATTATTCCCAGCATGCAAGCTCATGTCACAATATGAAAGTAAAATAAAATACAATTGCTTGTCACTCAATTCGCTTCGATATAAAATCAATGTTCCTGATTGAAATGCCATTAATGCATCCAAATGAAAAAAAAACACCACATATTGTTGGGTTACTTTTTATGACATTGAAAAATAGCATACGGCAGTATTCGTGCATTGACTTGTGCCTTCAAAAGGCGTGGCTTTGTGATTGAGGTTAGGAGCCACAGTTGACTAGTTACCAGCTCCGTGCTCTTTGTGAGTGCTTTCATTTTGTATTTATATGTGTGAATATTGGTCTCGTTAAATAGCCTACATTGCTGAAAGGCAGCTGCAGCTCTTTTTATTTTCCCTTCACCCTAATGGTGGAAAGTCCGAAAATCACTTGTTGTTTATATTTTGGTTCACAGCGCAGAGTAAAACATCCATCCATCCATGCATCCATTTTCTCGGACCACTTCATCACAAGGATCGCAGGGCGTTTTTGTGATATGTTCCCACAGGCTACTTTTTGCTTCATGGAAATGAGAATGAAATCGTATTAGACAGGCGGGACTTGAAGATTTGTGAAAATGCAGTAGAGCCCGAAAGTGGGGTACATGCATAATTTCTATCATTTTGATTTGTTAAATGGGAAAGGGCCCACATATGTCGAAAAAAAATGGTATATACTGCTCTTTAAGTGTGGGCCGTACTCGAGATGCCCAACACATAACGCTGTCCACACAATGGCTGTCCTTTCATTTCACGTCACAGAAGGCAAGTTGTTTGCTCCAAAACAATTTGCTGAGTTGTTTTGACTTCTTTCAGTTGGAGGACAATACAAGGAACAATTCGTTCTGTAAACTCTGATTACTTTGTTGAAAATGCAGGGAAGCCAAGATTCACATGATCAAAACTGAAATTATTTTATCAGTTTGTTGCCTTGAAATTTGGAGTCCACTCAACTTTTTTTTTTCTTCAGTGTATAAACATGGAGAGAAAAGAAATGCTCAAATTGGGCCCGCAAAAAGTTGACCACTACGTGTACCGGGGCACCTGTAAACTTCCAATTTGTTCATATTTAATTTATATTCCCCAAAGGAAGTCATGTAAAATGATCTCTATGAATTTTAATTAGGACTTCAAACAGTTGAGTTGCAGCTGGCCCAAGCAGTGCTTCTCTTTGATCAGGCATCACTCTCCTATATATATATTTTTTTCCTTCTCACTTTCTTCCTCCGGGCAACACTCTTCTAATTGGTTCAGCGCTGCTTCCAGCCTCCCTGTCGTCTTTTGCTCTATCTCTCAAGTCCGTCTGTAGACCTAAAAAGATTGCCGCCGTGCAAATGACCCTATTTATGATCAGATATTTAGAAAACTGACTTCATATTCATGTTCTGCTCTAGCAAAGCCTACCAGAGGCTAATTTTTTGCGCTTGGTGCCACAGTGAATCTGTCTGAGAATGGAGTTGGGTTTCTTGTTTGCGCTGATTCCAGGCCTCGCTCTTCTGGGTGTGTGCGCTGCACTGTTAATGTAGTGAAGTGGCTCATCGGTCATTGAGCTCGCTTTAACATCTGACTCCCAGGCCGAGCGGTGGTTTGTTCCTCAGTGCGAGGTCCCACGGGTCCTCCCCGCGTGCAGGCAACATATTTCATGATCAATAACAACAGAGAAGGCTGCCGTCAGGGGTCGCGGCGCGCTCTCATAGTAGGCTATATTTTGTACTGCATCCTATATGTTTATTAGATTGTATATATTTACATCCCGCACGCTTCAACCCTTCGGTGCTCCCGGCAAATGCAGCAATAAACTGGGCTTCTCATTCGCTCTTACTTGTCATTGGCTTGAGGGACTAACAGTGAGCTATCAATAGATCTTCCTTGTCTCTGAGTTCCGTCGATATCCTTTTAAAGCGCTATTCCCTAGTGCATTACTTTAACTTTTCTGTTTTGATACCTCACCCTCGTTCAGTGCCTCAGCGCCGGGTTTATTGCGAGAGTGCATCTACCAATTACCCGTGAGGCCCACTTGCCCCCCTGGATCAGCCTCACTATTATATGTCACTGGGTTTGTATCGACTCGTCCTCATTTCTGTTTTCTCCCCACCCACCCTTTCCTCCAGGCCCTGTCTATGAGCGAGGTAAACGGGCCCGGCCCCCAGGTGGCAGAACCACAGATTGCGATGTTCTGCGGCCGTCAGCTGCTTCACATGAACCCGCAGACGGGCCAGTGGGAGCCAGACCCTCAGGGCCGCAAGGACTGCTTCAAAGATCCCAATGAAATGCTCTCCTACTGTCAGGAGGTAGGCTTGACAAAGAATGGCACATAGAAACATTATCTTTATTTATTTATTTGTTTTCTTAATCTTAATCTGCCTAGAACGCTATGATCGACTGTATTGAAGATAATCAGTAAAGGGATGTTTTTGGAATGTACAATATTATATTTTATGATCATAGTCTACATAAATAATTAATTAACATTGATTATATAAGAATTAAAAATGCACGCATTCAATATATGACACAATATCATATTCCATTTTATATCATCCCCTTATCAGCTCTTTGTTCCTGGTTACTGAGTCTTCATATTATGGGACAATCACATAATTAACACCCGCTTCCTTGGAAAATACTGTTTGTATTTATGAGGAAAGGGCGAAAAAGCGCCATCTGGCGGTCATGCCACGCGTAGAATCAGTGTTATTTGATGGCTCATAAGGGGTTCTACATTTGTTGACGTCTGAATAAATCTCGGGGTGCGCCTCTTCCTTTAAATTCACAATTTTTGGCAGTGGCCCAAAGCAATGAGTTGATAAATTAGAACGAGTCAGTCGAGAACAGTGAACAAAATGGTCGTAATGAAGCATTAGACAGAGGCCTTGCATGGCGTTACAAAGACGCATGAGTCTTTCCCTTTTATAGTCTTCTTCCTACACACCCACAACCATTATTTGACCCTCGTCCTTCAACCTGTCCTCTGACCAAATGTCCCCTGTCTCCTCCTCTTGTCTTCATTCCCTCTGCTTCTGCCCCTGCATCTCTCTTCCGACACTTCCATCTCTGCATGGACCCGCACGACCAGATGTACCCAGCGCTTTCCATCTCCCACGTAGAGGAGGCAAAAAGTCCTGTGAACATCCCTTACTGGTGTAAGAAAGGCTGGAGCCACTGCCAGGCACGCCGCTTCATAGTGGTGCCCTATCGCTGCCTAGGTAAGAGTACTGAAATAAATCATGCAAATGCGTGACATGCCACGCGTCATGAAATGAGAAACAACAGTGTCAACTTCATTTCCACGAGAAGGTGAGGGAATCGGGGAAAGGAATGTTTTGTCATTTAATTGACAGCCCACTCTGTTATATCGACTTTTTGTTGCACGTGACACCGAGAAAAAAATAATGTACTTAAATACAGGAACTCGCGACAAACCAAATGGTCATGAGCTTCAAGTGCAGCACAGTACAGCAAAGAGCGCACGTCTTCATTAGCGTAATGCTAATTGTCTTTCTGCAGTTGGGCACTTCAGGTTTATGCAATTTCGACATGTAGAAATTATATTATAATAAACGGTGGCATTTTAATGGCTTGTATACAAATAGAAAGATCTCTGAATTACCTGCCCACTCAGTGTTAAATTAAACAACCAAATAAAGGTTCTGACATACTGTTCTGACAATTGACCTTATTAACAGCTTTGTATACACATAGTCGGGTGTCTAGAGTGTCTGCCCCCCCGCCACTCCAGACTAGTGTGTAATTGAACATTTTATGCATATTTCTGAAAATGTGGCTGTAAGTGGAGCGTTCCCAATTTACATGCAAAGTAGATCATAACTGCAACATATATTTCCGCACTGAAGCACGCAGTTCTTCATTCACCAATCATAGGGTAGCGGTGCGCTAACACAAAAAAAAAAAATAATAATAAATAGACCCCTGGTTCTCTGTGTTTGAGGAAATGGCCATATTTTATGGAAATATGCCAAAAAAGGAGTCACTGATTGTATGTCTCACTCGCCTGCCAGTCGTGCGAGCAGCGTAGGTTAAAGAGACAAAAAAAAAGAGAGACAGAGAGCGAAAAGATGTTCAAATTAGTTTCGGTGACCGGTATCCCGCTTTCGACTCTTGTGAACCCAGACCTGGACTCCAGTCGTAGAAAATGGAGGGATGATTCTCACAGTGAGATTTTTGTGTATTTCCATATTGGTGCAGAAGGTGAGTATGTGAGCGAGGCCCTGCTGGTTCCAGACCGATGCCGTTTCCTTCACCAGGAGAAGATGGATGCCTGCGAGAGTTACGTGTACTGGCACAACATTGCAAAGGAGGTGCGATACATGGCAGTACATCGAAATGTGTGTGAAGCAACAAAGATGACTTGTAACGTTCTTCTCCCAAAGGCGTGCACTGTAGACAATCTGGAGCTTCACAGCTATGGGATGCTTTTGCCATGTGGAGAAAATTTCCGCGGGGTGGAATATGTATGCTGCCCAGGTCGAAGCAGCACCAGCAGTAAGCCAGAAATTGAAGAAAGGGAACTCCTCACTGGCCACCAGACCACACTGAATCGGGGAATACTCAATTCTGCGTAAGACACCCCCCCCCCAGAGATTCGGTTTGACCACTTAGCATGTCTGGTCACCGCCTTTTATTTCTACAGCAGCAAAGTGATCGAACCCACCCCGAGCCCCTCCCCCGACCCCGACATTTACGAGACGGATATGGAGGACGACGATGACGAGATGGTGGAGGACGATGAGGATGAGGAAGAGGAAGAAGAGGATGAGGTGGATGAGGATCCGGTGGAAGAGGAGGACGAAGAGGAGCCCATTGCAGTGAGAAACCCAGAGAAGTACGAATACCCCATCGACTCGGGTCCCTACCAGACAGCTGACTATCTGGACTCATCCTACTATGACAAAAGCTACAAAGCCACGACCTCACCACCTCTGATGAAAGGAGAAAGCGGTACTTGTACTCATCCCCCTCTTGATAAGCACAACCAGAACTGATGTCAACATTTATGGAGTGATCCAGTGCTTCACTTTTTCTACATTTTGTAATGTTTTCACACGCTTTGAATCCTGCGTCTGAAATAATGATGCAGCCAATTTATGGATTTTTTTTACAGGCTTCGTGCCACCAACACATTCTCCGCCAATCTCAATTCTCCCCCTGATGCCTTGTTTCGCGCCTTACCGCACAGGTATGCGCGTTCACAAGAACAAAAGGTTGTCTCAGTTCTCAGCGGGCGGGCTTGGTCTCACATCAGGAAGCAGAGATGGCTCCAAGTTATAGCCGACAAACTGCTATCTATATATATATATCTATATATCTATATATATATAGATATATATAGATATATATATATATATGTAGGATAGTTTCTTATTTTGGAATTTGGCAGTAAAATATAATGCGGGGAAAAAAGTGAAGCACTGTGAATATTTTACTGATGCACTGTAATTTTCAACTTCGAAGCCAGGCAAAATAAAAGCAATTGCCTCTGTTTCCTGTCACTCCCATTGCAGTGACAACCACTCGACCCACAGATGGCGTGGATGTTTATTTCGAGAAGCCAGTGGACGACACTGAGCATGCCAACTTTCTGCGTGCCAAAACAGACCTGGAGGAACGACGAATGAAGAGCATCAATGAGGTGAATTTCACAGGGTGGAGAGTACCTGAACAGGATTATAAATTCTGCTGTTCTTTTTGCACCGTTTTTGGCATTAGAAATCCAAGTCGAGGGTTGGGCGATTTGGCTCAAAATTCACATTCACGGCAAAGATCACAATTTTTTCGTAATTTATTGGACAGACTTGTAATCACACAGCGTAATTTGGGTGGCATTTTATTTCGTATTTTTAAATCATCTTTTTATTTTTGACAATATCTGTAAATTTAGTTTCCTGCTCTTAATTGGGAATACATACTTGATGGTTTTAAATGCTCCTTAAATTAACGAGCCATTGACGAGCCATTGTGTATGTATGTGACGTCACTGAAGGCCTAAGGTTGAAATTCACGCCTGCCACTGGTATTTGTATTTTTAATTTCTTGTTTTCATTGTTGTTATATGACATATTTTTAGTCCATGTAAAGCACTTTTCTTGTAGCAATAGTTTTCTTCAAGTTCTCTATAAATTAAGTTGAGAAAATGGACTGATAGATGGTTGGAAGGAAATACCAAGATCGTTTAGAGCAGCGATTTCCAACCAGTGTGCCGTGACAGATCAGGTGTGCTGCAGAAAAGTATCTTAGTTTTCTTTAATTGGTTAGAAAATTATTTCATTACTACAAATAATGCGCTGTTGTTCTTCTGGTGCAGGGATGCCCCACCCTTTTTGACAAAGATCTACTTTTCGACGAACCAACCTCCCGCGGTAGACACGTTACCCCACACGCGAGCATACGCACGCATTTACACGCGCACGTCCCGATGAGCAATAGTCATAAGATGAACGAAACAGAAAAATAAAGTAGGCACAAAAGTTTGCGAGTTTGTCGAAATCAAATCACTGCCTACCTTAGTAGGGACCTGACGCGGAGTCATGGGACGGACTTTGCAGCGTAGCTCAATCGGAGCTCACGTGTCGCGTTTTAAAATGCTTCTCCCTGCACTCCAGATTTCCATTCTTTGCCCGTGCGCTCGGTGAATTGTACATGAAACAAACGCTGAATGAGAATAATAATAACAATAAACAATATAGCGCAACAGCTCTGATCGCGAGCGGCCTTTCCAGACTGCTGCCCACTAACAACTTCCGGTGCAGTGTGAACTAACTCAAAAATATTACATATGTAAGTTGAGGGGTTCATAGGTTTGTAGTGGATACGCTCTACTTTACGAATAGGCAAAAGGAGAGATGGAATCCTTTGAACGCAGTTTTTATTCTTTCGACGTCTGCACCTCCGAACGAACGAACGAGAACACACCCCTTTCCGGTAACACAAACACTTCCTGGTTTCCTTCAGCCAATCAGACAATATCAACATAAACTTGTTTATCCAATAATTTAACATAAGCTTACACATATAAATAACAACCCTCGCGATCGACTTTGGACCAGTCCGCGAGTTACCAGTCAATCGCGATGACGTATTGAGCATCCATGCTCTAGCGTATCAATGGAAGTAATGCAGTTACAGACAGAACGATAACATTCTCTTCCACAAAATGGCATAAATGCCCATAATTATTGTGTATTTACTTTTTTCACTCCATTTTTTCCTGTTATTTTGTTTGGGGAAAAGCATTTCGGATAACTCAACTCAACTGTATTTATAGAGCACTTTCAAACAGCCATAGGTGCATACAAAGTGCTGTACATGGAGCAATTCAACGAGTGGATTGGGGCTGTCATTGTACGTACAGGGTTTGCGCGGTAAAGTGAGGGGGCAAGAGGTGGACCCAAACCTGGAGTGCATATTTTCCTGAACCAAAAATGTATTTCCAAAAACAAAAATCCTACCAAGGCACTGTGGGTGGCGAAAAAAAAAACCCTCTTTTATAATAAATCAACAAAGTCCTGAAAAAAAATCACAACTCAAAGAAACAAAACACTCATGACAAAACAAAGTGTTTGACAGCAACAAAAGCAATAAACACAATGATCCAGGGAACTAAATACAAGCAAACTGACGAGACAATAAGAGGCACCCAATAAGAGGCACTGATCGGGGAAACACAAGGGGCTGGGCAGAAAAGAACAGGTGGACACAAAGCTTAACAAGACCCACATTAAATTAAAAAAAGAGCCACCACAAACAAACAAAAGACATAACATGAAACAAAATACAAATACAAATCAAAAACAAAAACACAGCTCAATAAAAGACTGGAAATAACTCTTTAGAGGGGTACAAAAGATTGTTGTTTCATCCTTCCAATAATATTGGTAATCTTCAAAAGACAAATGAGGAGTTGCGATTGGAAACATTGAACTGGGTTATAACTTACAATGCCGGCGTGTTTGCGAAGCAAATCAGGGTGGAGAAAAACACTCTTAACACACCACAAAATACTCTTCCAGAGACATCCAAGGGACAAATCAAGCTCAAATTACCGTAGGCCCAGTTATCGGTGGCATGTGTGTACCCTGCTTTACACAATTCAGAGCCAAAAGAAATACATTCAACAAAACAAATTTTGGAATCATTTTGGGCTTTTCCCTCACTATTGTAAGAAATCAGTCTATGATCTTGCCTGTGCAGTTTAAATGGAAAAATAGCATGTGACTGTTTTCTGACATGAAATCTTTCCATTTGTTAGATCATGAAGGAGTGGGCTGAGGCAGACAACAAGTCAAAGAATCTGCCAAAGTCAGAGCAGCAAGCCCTAAATGAGGTATGTGTGTCAGGTGGTATCATGGCGTAGCTGCTTCCATGGCCTCCATTTTAATTCCATCATCATCTGCCTGCAGCACTTCCAGTCCGTGCTGCAGACGCTGGAGGAACAAGTGGCGGGCGAGAGGCAGAGGCTGGTAGAGACTCATCTGGCCAGAGTGGAGTCCATCCTCAACAACAACCGCCGGCTGGCCCTGGAGAACTACCTGACTGCGGTGCAGTCTGACGAGCCACAGGTCAAACATAAAAGTCATCGAAAGCGAGCAGTCGCAAAAATGGCCACGTCGAAAAACATTGCTGTCCTCCTTGCAGCCGGAGCACGTGCTGCAGGCTCTGAAACGATACATGGCAGCCGAGCAGAAGGACCGCAGACACACACTCAGGCACTACCAGCATATTGTGGCTGTCGACCCGCAGAAGGCTGAGCAGATGAAATTCCAGGTGCCTGACGCTTTGATATTTACTGCTGACTACTGCAAATTCTGTATGGGCTTCGAGTGTCACTTCAATAAACTGATTAAAAAAAAAATTAGATAAAGGATCTATTCATCCTCTTGAAGCGTCGATCAAAGGTAAATTTTGCTGACGACAAAACCAACTTCATTCTTTTTTTGCCCTGGAACCTCCAATGTAGAACACAATCCCTTCTGCGAAGTTGGTTGACTTTCAGTTCTAATTACCGCACATTGGTCAACAACTTCTGATTTTTTTTTTACTTTTTTTTTTTTTTTTAATCAGAGATGCTAGTCAACCTTTATTGATTTTTTTTGCACTGATTCTGAATCTGCCCTCATTTTTTCTTCTAGCACATCTCATCCATTTCTTGACGTCATTACCATTACAACTTTAATACAGTATGTCATATAGTCATATATTTGGTAATACTTATGAAGGGGCAAGTTCAGGAACAGATGGATTTTTATTTATTATTTTATTTTTCGTCATAGCGATAGTATAAATTTAACGCATGGTAAAATCCTATCCCGTAAGCTTTTATTGGTCCAAATTAAAATTTAAAAAATGAACATATCATACGGTGACCATTCCATGGTTTATCCTACCTCTCGGTCAAAGAACAAAGAATGGCTTTCGCTTGAACTTCAAATTGTACCACATTTGAGTTCACGCTGTCCTCTGGGTCCAATTCAAGGTCAGCTCCATTGCAGTTTGCTGTTAAAACTTGTAAATTCCGTTTTTTTCCAGGTGTACACACATCTGCATGTGATCGAGGAGAGGATGAACCAGAGTCTGGCACTGCTCTACAAGGACCCAATCTTGGCCGAGGAGCTCCATGATGATATCCGTATGCTGAAATATATTTGGGGTGTCTTGGAAAGTTTGCATTTAAGATCACATTCACCAAAGTTTTAAATGTGTTCACTGCAGAAGACCTGGTGCGGGCAGAGCGGGGCGACATCAGCGAGCTCATGACCACGTCCTTCTCTGAGACGCACACCACCGAGGAGCTTCTGCCAGCTCAGAGTGAGGAAGAGAAGGATGACGAGGAAGAAGAGGAGAGAGAATTCCAGAACAGGCCTTATCCTCCTCGCGTTGGTACGAACTGTGTCTGCATTATGTTAGGTCTGTCGAACTAGGCTGTTTTTTTTTTCCCCCTAACATTGTCTTTCCTCCTTGCCGCTACAGACTTGCAATCGAATAAGAAAGGTGAGCAAGCCTGTCTATTCATCTGTTATACAGATGGGGGTTCGGTAAACGCAGGGGTTGTACAAGCTATGCGTAGCAATGGGGGGGGGGGGGGGGGGGGGCACCATGCCATAACATTAAACTGAAACCCTATGATTGGTTGCCCTATCCTATTTATCCATCCCATACAAGTATTTAGAATATAAGGCAAGTAATCACTGCTGCATGCTTCTGGAAAACTTGCTAAATATGATTTATTAACACCTTTGTTCATTTGTGAATGAGGTGTTCTTTAACCCAATGTGATGATGATTTTGTGTTTGCAGGAGATGAATATGACTATGCCACATCTGAGAGGGCTCCTACTTACGAATATGAGGAAAAGGTAGCCTTCTTTGTGTGTGTGTGTGTGTGTGTGTGTGTGTGTGTGTGTGTGTGTGTGTGTGTGTGTGTGTGTGTGTGTGTTTCATGATAATAAGTGGTCACTAGGAGACCACCTCCCACCCACAATCGCGCTTCTGTCTCTGAAACGTCAAAGTTCATTATATGTCCTCTGAAAACATTTTTCAACCCGTGGTTGATAGCTACCTAAATGTTTCGGCGCATTCTGTTCCCTCGTAGATCAACACCTCCGTGGAGCTCAAGCAGGTCGTCTACAAGCCTGATGAGATCGAGAGAGATGAACTGGTAAGAGCGACGTGACCCGATGATCAATGTTCAAGAAATGAGTGATAAGCATGGCCATCACTTTGCATCTTTCTTTCCAAAGCAACCTGACGCCTTGGAGACATTTAACCGTGGAGCAATGGTGGGCTTGCTGGTGGTGGCTGTGGCCATCGCCATGGTGATGGTTATCAGTCTGTTGCTGGTGCGCAGGAAGCCCTACGGCACCATCAGCCACGGCATCGTGGAGGTAGGACCTGACAAATATACAGTCGAGTCCTGGTCAAGTTTCTTTCGTCGCATATGATGACTGAACTCACGTTTGTCTCCAACAGGTGGACCCCATGCTGACCCCAGAAGAGCGACAGCTCACCAAAATGCAAAACCACGGCTACGAAAACCCCACTTACAAATTCTTTGAGCAGATGAACTGAGTTCGTAACAAAGACGACCGCTGGTTTCGTCCCGTCGTCACGGCGGTGCACCGACCACGCCACCTGTAATGAATTGAAAACATTGAGATTTCATTAATTAACTACATAAGCTCAGTCTTTAGTTTGTATCCATTGTAAATGACCAACGACGTCAATCAATCATTACCGAAATGTGAATAGTGAATATTATACTTCACCTGCTGTAATCTCCATTGGATTAGATCCTGCTGCAAACTGTCGAAAACATCCCATTGAAACAGTCATCACAGTGGCATGACGTGACCTACTGACATACCAGAAACGGAATGGTGCATAATGCTTTAGAATATTTATTTTTCCAAAGTCGACTTCATATTGTCTCACATAGATATAGTACTGTATCAATGTAGATGAGTGTGATAGGCAGCCCGTTCGTCCTCATTTACAACCACAAATGACCAATTAAATGAAATGTACCTCCATCAACTCCAACATTTCCAATGAGATCAGATAGATATTTTTTCAAAGTATATATCTTATTTACTTCCAACTATCAGCCCTCCACACTTGTTTTACATAAATTGGTAAATACACAGCAAAATATTGAGCCGAATTAAGTTTATTTATCCTGCAAATCTGTGTGGTTCCCTTCTAAAAAGTTGCCGCTCCAAACGGACACTGTAAATAACAACCGACGTACAGTTAGCCCCCTCCAAATGATTCACGCCCCGTTCGGATTATCAGTTATTTGTCAAATGGGTATCTTCTGCCTGGAAATGATACGATACAGCAGAAATTGACTTAAAGTGTCTTTGTTAGCGATATTAATATTTAAAATATTGGATTTTATTCTTTGTCCATGTCATTTCCATTTGGACAACACCTTCTTTTGCATCATTCTCAAGGATTCTGATGACTTGGAGCGCGATCGACATCATTTTAATCAATTTGAACATTACTGTACCGCGGCTTAACTCTCACATTACAAAAACACGCTTATGTTACTTTAACTGAAGATTGTAAATTGTCCAGCTGTGAATGTAAGTGTGAATTGTCAAAAGGCAGCTGGGTCAGCTCCCGCTTACCTACGACCTGAATGAAAACAATCGCGACAGAACGGATTGACGAACATTACAAATGCCTGTACTGAGGATGAGTCGGAATACTTCTTCCAAATGAATATCTTTTGACACAACGTCATTCAGTCTTCAGACACTTTTCTTGTGTCAATCCAGCCCGAAGATACAGTAACCCCTTTTGCTTTGTCGAGCGTATGATTAATTCCGGAGTCAAGTGTATCCTATCCTCCTCGTAGTAGACGTCCTGGTTAGACGTTCCTTTAAATCGTTGGTGTAATGGAGTAATACTAATCAACTAGTGCATTGTGCTGTAAACGAGAAGGAGAAGCATTTTCCTTACATGGCTGATTGAAAACGGACTGTTGTAAAAAAAAAAAAACCAGCACAAGATGACACAGTAACTTCTTTCTGAATGTATTTAAGGTAGATGTTGAGATTCCATTCCCTTAGTTAGTGACTTTATTTTCCCCGTCGTTAATCCCGGAGTCGTGACGTTAGGGCACGCGACATGCATTGACGTTCTCGTCAGTACTTGGTAGCAGCCTGCTCATAATTTGTCAAGTGACTGTCAAGGCAGAGGAATTAAAAAGCCGAAGTTGTAAAATACAGAGTGCAGTATATTGTGTCAGTATGTGTATTCAATCCTAAAAAAAAAAAAAAAAAAGAAACAAAAAAAAAAACAGCACACGTAGTTATAAGTAGTGATCGTATGTCATTAAGCTACTCGTCTTGACATCTTAACACGAAATATTAGCACTCTGTACATGCGTTCTTTTTCCTCTTAGCTCTGTGTGTCATTTTACGAAGCCACTTAGGAGGGTCATGTTGCAGGATGTGCTGATAATCCCGTTTTGGAGATGATGCAAAAAAACACACACACACACGCACACACACGGTGGAGTTGTGACAGTGTGTTTCATAAGGCGGGTTGTGTTATGATGGGTCACAGCCTTTGTATAATTTGTACAGCTACGTTAGTGAATGTCCACAGTTTAACGATACTACTGAAACCATAGATGAGAATACGCTTGCCTGTTTTTATTTGGATCGCAAAAACCACCACTGAGGGTTCCCTACCAGCATTTAGCAGATGTAGTAAGGTATGTAATACCGTAGTTACGCCCAATGCCATTTCTACCCGTGTCCTCTATTCAATTCTCTCCTTGTGAAATACTAAAAAATGTCATTGAGATTTTAATTGCTGCGTTATTGCCTTTTACAATGCTGTGTTTTTTGGATGTAATTATATTGTATTTTTTATTTATATTGGACGTAATTATCAGTTGGTTCGAGGGTCATGGTTTTCACGTGTCATTTTAGAAGCTCGTATTGTAAAACAATGACATGTTTAAGATAAATGTGAATTGTAGTCAGGTGTATGCAGCCTAATCGACAGCGACAGTGTGGCACTAAGCACAATCCAACCAAATTGCTCTGTAAGTGCTGGGCATGGCTATTTGACCACATTTCCTTGAGCAATTAATGAATTCTTTATTTTTTATGATTTTTGTTTATTTGTTGTTTTTTTTTTTTTCAATGTTCTGAACGCACACTTTCAGGGCAGAATAATGCTGCCCGCGGAGTTGCGTCATAGCTGACACCTTCTTGGATATAGCTGAACTTCCTATTTCTGTTGCTGGACTTCTTTAGTCAACAAACTCTTTGAGATTGGTTGAAAAAGGCCTCTGCTGGTGGCAGCTAAGTAGCGCACGCTCCATTTTGCCTCACTTGCTCCAAGTTGCGAAAAGTCGTCAATCAATTTCAGACAAAGGCTCCATTATCATGCCCATCCGTGGCTTGTGCACACAAATATACGACACTAGTTCACTATTGCCCCCCCCCCGCCCCTATACGATCCGTAAACCGAAGCCATGCACCAAGAAGAAGCAGCTACACTAATTTGACAAAAAGTGTTCTCTGTTGTGTAAATGTACTTGCAAGCAATCGGAGGCTGTAAAAAAACACACCAAGCTCATTGATTGTGAAATAAAATTGAATGACCAATAAAAGTTGTTGTCTTCTCTGTTTTCATTGATCTTCACTTGGACCTTTTCTGTATCTGACACACAACATTCGGGGAACTTGACATAGTTCAATTTGTTCAGCAGGGCGACACAGGAGATTGAAAAGCCACACTGCATCTAAAGGGGACAACCGCGTGGCTTCATGGTTTCTGAACATCTAGAAACAGAAGCATCAAGAGTAGGAGGAAGTTTATATGTGAGGTTTCTAGTTATTTGCGCTAAAGTGACAACTGTAAGTCTGGCATTGATCCAAATTTTAAAGTCTCAAAGAGTTTGCCCAAGTTTGCTCACAATGCTCTGATTGTCAGCCTAGCTGGATGAAGAAGTTAAACTTCTCATGTTCTGTGTTTAGAAAAAGAACATAAGCAAGTACATTTTACTGTTGAGGAGATACATTTTTCCTACCCGTATAATGTTTAATAACCAATGGAGCATTTATAGTAGATCAGAATGCAAAAATGACGTTTTATGAGAAAATAATACCATGTCAAAAGTACAAGGTTCTCATAAGAGTTGAGTTACATTTCATACGAAATGAATGCAGGTTTGTAAAATACCGACGTGTGTGTGTGTGTGTGTGTGTGTGTGTGTGTGTGTGTGTGTGTGTGTGTGTGTGTGCGCGCACGCGTGTGTGTTACTAGTTTCCTTTCACGTCACATCAAATGACTCCACACTGTGCTCGACGCTGTGACAAACATCAGCAAACATCGCGCTTGTCGAAGCAGCACTTAAAGCAATTGAATACTTGACACAAATACTGACCACCAACCTGCTAATTAGTACAAAAGAGTGGGTGCTTCACACACATTTCCTTCAAAAATTACAAAGAAGTGTCTGTCTGGCATGAACATCGCACAGGTTCCCTTCATCCAGACCACAATTCTGACAGCGAGTTGTATTACTGTGAAAAAAGATTGTGTGGCCGTACAGTGACAGTTTAGCAGCCTCCGGCAACAGTCATCACGCTTGTGGTTCCTCAGAACTCCACAGCTCACAGACGTCCACTGTGGTAAAGTGACTCATATTTACCACGACGTGTGTTACACAGCAGCCTGCCTCTGCATTTTCTTTAGTTCACTAACGCTTTGATTCATTCAAGAAAGCATGCAGGGGTAGCAAAGTAACAATATTTGGTACCCTAAGTGGGAGACTAATCTCTTATTAGGCAGTAGAAACAAAAAAAATTCAATCTAATACTGATTGATTGTATTCTGCATTTTGTGGGGTATTAAACTTGAGAACAGATGGAAAATCTGCCTCAAAGTTGTTTTTTTTGCAATTAGCTTGCATGAGCAGCTGTCAAATTAATGCAGTGATATAAATTTCCTTAGGAATTACCTGGATTTCTGCATTAATTGGTCATAAGATGTGATCTGCTTTTGATCCAAGTCAAAACTGAAGTGCGTGGTGTATCATGGTTGGGACTGCTTTGCTCTTCCAGGGCCTGGACGTCTTGCTAGCATCAACAGAAAAATGAATGCCCATATTTTTCCAAGACATTTTGTAATTTGAAGCCATCTGTCTGTCTTATGCAGGTCTAATCTGCAACAACAGGAAACATTGGGCAGCGCTAAAGGAGGCTAAACCAGTAAGTACATTTGAAGGTTGACATTTCCCACCCTGCACCATTTTTTGGATGAAGATGAGATCTTTTTTTTTTTTTTTAATCAATTCATGCAGACATGCAGGTGATTCCAAAGAGTTCATATCACTTTTTCTTGCAAAGGTTTTATTCCATTCTGAAATGTTGATGATTAATGTACCAAGTTTGGTTTCTTTATCTCACTGGAGATGACTGGTCTGCCACAAAAGCAAAGCTGCTCTCGCTGTAGAAATGTTTCCCATTCAGCTCCAGATGACATTTACTATGCAAAATCATGTAAATGTGGAAAAACATTAGATCAGGTTAATTTGTGACACGAGAGCGCAAATGTCACACACATACAGTGACGTCTTGCTTGACAGACAATAACCATTCATACTTTTTCGTGTTGTGAACATGAATATTTATCAGAGACAGAAACAGATCGCAAAAATACCCAGAGTGGAAAATAAAATAAAACATCGAACAACTGTCACATTTAAAGGTTCTCAAAAGTACTGCAAACAAGTGTACTATTTTTTTCATTTATTTTAGATTTATATGAACTTTTTTTTTTTTTAAAACTAACAAATTATTTATAAAGTTGGAAAAAGCTCAATTGAAATGTATTGTTTTGGGGTTGGGGATTGAATGTGAACATTGTAAGTACAGTATACTGTACATCTGTTTGCAAAACAATCGTGAAACCATTTTTAAAAATTAATTATATTTTGCCCTTTAACCAGATATGGTTTAATTTGATTGCTCATCAAAGTAGAGAGACTAACGTCACCGTGTTGGATGATCTATGACAATGTTTCCCAAGGTGTGGTTTGAGTGCGACTAGTGGCTAGCTCAATCATTATTTTTACTTTTACGTGAAATACATTTTATTTGAACCATTATTTAAGTAATTTATTTTCCTATATTCGCTCACATTGTTTATCAAACTGTACCTAATACATACAGGGTCTTACAATAATAGACTTTTTAGGAATAAAACCAAACCTGTGTTTTTTTTTGTTTTTGGGTAAAAACACTTGGGCCTACTATACTGTATTTTGTGTTAGTCATTACAGTGGAGAGCGGAGGATTTTTTAAAAGTGGTATTTGATGTAAAAAACAAAACAAAACAAAACAACACTGAAGATGAGTTAATGCCCCCCCTTTCATGCAGATTTAACCCTTTCAAGGACAGTTGTTACAAGAGCGGACAGTTTATCATGTTTTCGGATTACAGAGTGCATGAAAGGGTTAAAGACAAATGCCAAAATATATTGCGTTGAACTATCAAAGTTCTAAGGAAACATACGTCTCAACAACACCTTGTACCACAAGGTCTGGAAAGTACTATGCAGCCACTGCTATTTTAACGCTTCGCTTGACAAATCTCTACCCCTCCAGCCCCAACTCGTACCATATACCCTCATATAGCCCATATATGCATGTTTCCTGTCACAGATGAACATCTTTTTACGTGGTTTGGTGTCAGAGCAAAGAAAATGTTCACATAGTGACCAACAGTTGAGCTTGACATGGTACGACTTGCCACATTAGGTCAGAAATAAACTAATTTGTTAGTTTAAGTTGGAGGTGACCTGGGGCATTTTTTCATTCAACTGCAGAAAGCATGATGACTTTGATCGCAAGGTGGGTGAAGGTGAGGTCTGCGTTTGTTTTGGTGTTTTTTTTAATGCTCAAAAATAGGCTTGATAATTGAAATCCGTGTGCCCCACATCAGGGATTTGTTTCTTTTTCGACCCTGTTCTCATGGGATGGTTTAATCTAAAGCTGCAATTCCAATTTTAAGAGCTCATCAAGTGTATTGTGGAAAATTACACAATTTCACTTCAGCGGTACAAAAACTATCATTTATTCACTGAATACGGTATATGACCAGTGTTTGACTGGAAACAAATCGAGGGTTTATTTGGCTTTTTGGCCGAATAAGTCCTGCAACTCTTAAGAGAATAAGCAGTACAGAAAACTGATGGGTAGATTTGCTCGAAATAATCCATTGATGTCCATCTAGCTATGCTAGCGATGGGTAGTGACTGTGTGGGGATCTGAATTTACGAGTGGTACATTTTCAAATTTGGATGATTTGATTCAGTTCAATTCAGTGGGATTACGATTCCATTCGATATGGTACGGCTGTAGCAATTCAAGTTCATTAAATTCAAAGCACCAATGAATCAAAACCATTCATACCAATATATTTTTCCTTATACTAATTCTTGGGTGTAAACCATGAGATTTTTGTAATATCTAAAATATGTGCATGCAGCTAAATAAATCTTAAAGAAGTAAACTTGACCTTACTTGATTTTGAGGATTAAGCAAGTTTATTTATCTTTTTAATATCTAGGCTGCTATGGATTTTTAAGGCATTTCGACAAAGTATTTTTTTGTCCACAGGAAATGGCCAAATTCATACAATGGTGTGTTGTGTTTATTCTTCAGTTTACGGGGGAGTTCCACACTGTACACTCAATTCTACTGGTGTCCCAGTGACACTGCTGAGGTGGAAACATTAACCAAACCGAAGCCTCTCAATTATATACAGCAACTCTTATGTTCAACCTCTTTTTGTCTCAGGATCTGTCAAATTCCTTCTTGTTAACTTTGTTGCCAACGGAAAGTGGCTATTGCAAGCTTAGTGTAAAGCTCATCAAGTCCAACATAACAGGTAACAAGTTAACAGCTGGTCAGTCACGCATTCTATCCCTGATTGGTTGGTTTTCATCAGGCGCGGTGGTTTTCTAAAAATCAAAAGAGAGGTACAAGATGGCGCCGGAGAGGGTCCCCCCCCCCCCCCCGCCAATAATTTGCTCTTTTATACTACTATTTAGATACGACTGATAGTTACAACAAAAATGAGAAAAAGTGTTTGGGGTTTTTCGCCTTCGGTTCCTAGATAGACTAAATGCCAAAAACAAACTAGCAATAAATGCACCAAAGAGAGAGAGGGGGATGAAGGGGAGGGACCACAAACACGAGAGGAAATTAAATGTACATCCCCAATGACAAGTCATCATTGCCATGATGTAAGACGACCCATCATTCACCTGGAAGAATACTCACCATCGACCAAGTAAGTGTCTCATCAACTTTTCTGTAAGTACACACATTTGAACGCACTCGTCTGATGACTGATCATTACCTTTAATGTTTGGAATTTTTGCGGAGGATCTCGAGGTCCTCTTCTTCTTAAGCACGGAAGCTAAAGTTCATGTTCATGTCCAGTCAAGGGACGGTTGCTCATACAGGTCACAACATTAGGTACAACTGCACAGTTTAATGTCATTTAATACAAGAGCTGTCGCTAATATTAGAAATAGGTCTCAGTATGATGCACGGCAGTACATTGACAAGTGGGAATCCAACTAAGTAATATATTGCACACACATATCTCTTTGATAGAGTCCATCAAAAGTGAGCATCATCAATTTTTTAAAATGATTTCATTAGACTGTGAAGTGAGGTTAAATCAAAAACGGTGCCACCAAAGCATGGCAATTTTGATAGAACACATGCAAAAGTCTTAAAATACAGTCAGTGTCATCGAGAAAGCAATGTCGACAGAATCACAGGAGAATGTACAGTTGTGGTTGTAAGTTATTTCCTGCGGCAGAATTGTACAACCTACATTTCTGGTCGAGGGGAAGAAAACTGAATTGCGTGCTAATGATTACATTGACTTGACCATGACCCTAAAAATAAAATAGTAGTGAAAAGCTGTACTGTCATAGCTTTTCATGTCCAAAAGGTAGTCACTGGATGCAAAGCTCTGAAGGTTGCAAAAAAAATAAAATAATAATAATAATAATAAATAATAATAATAATAATAACATTTTTAAAATGTGATATAAGGTTGGAATAATTTTCACAAAGCTGCTGTTTGATTTCTGTTGCAGATAAGGAAGGCTTCTATTGTAAATAAGTACGGTCAACACGTACAGAAAAATACAAAAAAAATAAGACGCCAAGGGAAAACAAGTGTTTTTGATGTTTTGAAGGTCTTTACATTTTTGGAAATAAATGGCGATATTGCCAGAAATGCAAGTGAGGATATATGATGATATTGGTAATTGGCATTTGGAAGTTATCGTAATATTGTCAGTTTAGAGATACACATGTACAGAAAAATACAAAAAAATAAGACGCCAAGGGAATACAAGTGTTTTTGATGTTTTGAATGTTTTTACATTTTTGGAAATAAATGGCGATATTGCCAGAAATGCAAGTGAGGATATACGATGATATTGGTAATTGGCATTTGGAAGTTATCGTAATATTGTCAGTAGTTTAGAGAATTAAAAAAAAAAAAAAAATGCATACATTTACCTATCAATATCAAAATCGGAGAAATTGATTATTTTGCACTGGACACTGTATTTATTCTATTATTTATGTGTTCATGCATCGATACGGTATATCATTTGAAGGTTTGGGGTCACTGATACATGGCCTTATTTATAAAAGAAAAACAATGTTGAGAACAAAAAATTTGAAATAAAGTAGGTAAAACATTATTCGTTTGGTTAATAAGTAAACAATGCTTATCCAATGTTTCTATCAAAGAAAAAAAAAGATATCTACGTGATCCTTAACTTTTAAATGGTACTGTACGGTATATCTACAATGGTGCATTTTCATGGAAAACAAAAAAGTATATTTTAGGTGTGTGCGTGTGTGTTTATTGTATACTTTAGTAAAATAACAAACAACTTTAGAATGTAGTGCAAAGAATGTGACAGAGGATTAGAATTATACGAATCAAGCTCATCCATGATCAATCATCCAACACATCAGTGATATCTCACAAACGGTACATTTTGCAAAATGATCATTTTAAAAACTGCCGCACGTTCTCAAGAAATACTAGTAAATTAAATCTCATGTTGTTAATAATTTACTTTCCATCTGTGAAAGGGGGTTGATTGTAGAAAGTGTGGCTCATCACATGCTGCATCATCTTAAAGGTTCGGTTGTCTCACAGCCATCCGCACAACGGATTATACAGCGCGGGGCGGGGGGTTCTCTTTTTATTGCACGTTCTCATGAAATACTAGTAAATTAAATCTCATGTTAATCATTTACTTTCCATCTGTGAAAGGGGGTTGATTGTAGAAAGTGTGGCTCATCACACGCTGCATCATCTTAAAGGTTCGGTTGTCTCACAGCCCTCCGCACAAC